TTATTTGACAGATAGAGACATAGAGAGAGTGGGGAACACAAGCAGGGGGAGTGGGAGAGGGAGAAGCAGGCTTCCTGCTGAGCAGGGAGCCCGATGCAGGGCTCAATCCCAGGACCTTGGGACCATGACCTGAGCCGAAGGCAGGCGCTTAACGACTGAGCCACCCAGGCACCCCTCGTTATTGTTGTTTTAAAGGATTGAGTTATATGAGTGAATATATCTCCCTTCTGGAGAGGGAAAAAAAAAAACCCTGCTAGGATAGAAAGACAGCCACAGAAAAAAAGTATTTGTTACTATATCTCAAAACACTGGAAAGTGGAAAACACTGTAATATAGTAACTGTGAAAATGACTAAAATCAATATAAATGGTCAGGCAAATTTAATAACTCTTCATTTCTAAATACATATTGTATGCACACACATGTATTTCACACACACATATATATATGCACATGCACATACACACTTACTCCCCCCAACACACCCTTATTTAATCACTCCAATAAATAGATTTTGTAGTGGTGATGGGAGGACGGGAGCCTATGCTTCCAAGACAATAAGACTCAAATGAGTGATTTTGAACGAGTTTCTTAAATTCTCTGGATCTCAGTTTAATCACTTACAAAATGTAATAGATAACTTTCTCCAAGAGTAATCTTGAAGATTAAATAAAATGAAGCATGTAGCATGCCTTAAAAGAGATGAATGTTTTTGGTATGGATGATGCTGTCTGTGGTTTAGAAACAGAGGTGATGTGTTTAACTTGGTTGTTCAAGCTTGGGTGACCATTTATCATAAATGGAATCAATTCACCCTGTGATTTAATGGATTCCAAAATAGGCAGTGGTCTTACATTTGCAGTGCAAGATAGCATATCCCTGCATAAATCACCCCAGTTTAAGAACTTCATAATAAAGCACTGACTAGGACCAGACCAGAAATAGGCTAACCATGGCTCAAACACTCACCAAATTCAAGTACCTGGTCAAATATCACAGGTTCAAAGATGCCCTTCCTGACCCCCATCACTCTATAACTATCACATTGTCACATTCTACACTTTTCAGAGTACTTGTCCCTCCCTTATTAAATTGTTTATTTACTTGTTTATGTGTTTATTATCTGTATCTTCAATTAATAAGCTAGAGGAGATCTGGGACAGTCAGTTCTGTGCATTACCCATACCCAGCACTGGAAACATTTCCTGGTACATCATAAACACACAAAACTATTTGACGAATCAATTAAATTGATGCAGCTTGGACTTTTTTTAAAGCTGAAATGGTCATTGTAAAACTTCTTGCTGTGAAGGAAAAGATTTATTTACTGAAGATAAGAAATTTTGAGAATATAAACATATTCGTCAGATACTGCTATAGTTTGAAGACTTTTATGAAAGAACACACTAAAAAACAGAGGCTTAAATCGAGCTATGTACAGAGAATCTGAGATAGTATTGAGCGGTGTTTGCACATCACTGCAGAGAGTCTACAATGAACCAAGAAGTTCCCACGAAGGGAACAAATCTGTTGCTTTCTTGCATATAACACTGAGTGGCTAATCAGCAATTATTTGCTGCATTTGGAAATACAGAAACAGAGTACAATGGAAACAAATACATTGTTCCCATCTAACTATTAGACCACAAGACCAGTTGGATAATGTACTGTACCTGAGCAATCTGAGTTAAGTTGCCAGCCTATTTAGGATGGTAACATTTATTTTTGGGATGATATAAATAAACAGACACAACTAAAGGACATAAAACTGGATTAAAAGCAGCAGTACCATTGATACCTGAATCCTGTGATGATAGCTGGCACTTAATTATGTCTGGCTAGAACACAGTGAAGTGAAAGCTCAGAGACGGATTAACAGTATCTCCAATTAAAATGTGTGACCAGTGTACAATGTGTAAAGCAGTAGGGCACTGGAGCCCAAATAGGCAGATACACCATCGGAAGAGATTTCCAACATAAAAACTCAGTCTAGGATAACAGGCACTTCAAATTCATGAATAAAGGCCAGACTTCTCAATAAAGTGAGACAACTACAATGTTAGATCCCTACCTCACACCAAACTTCCTGAATTACACATAAACTTGGATTTAAATGGGATTCCCAGTCCAAAAAGGGAACCTGAGCACATGTGTTTATCATCTCTCCCTTCTTAGATTTTATTAAAATAATAACAAAGGATTTCTAAGTATTAAAATCCCTTAGTAATGAAGAGGAAAAAATAAGACTATGAGCAGATCGGAAATATCAGGCCTGAAGGACTGAAAGTGAGCAAAAACTTGACTGCTAGAGCAGAGGCAGCTGCAGGTGGGGCTGTTGTTGCTAAGAGAGATGATTGATCCAGCAGAACCCTGGGAGTCAGAGAGCACATTATCAAAAACCTGAAAAATGGATATACTTTGAGTTACCAATTCCGCTTCTAAAAATTTATCTTAAGGAAGGAAGTAAATATACAAATGATCAGTGATGTTTGTATAAATATGTTGAATTCAGTGCTGTTACAAAAGCAATACCAAAAACAATCTAATGTCCAATAACAAGGACTCAGTTAATTAAATTATTGTATATCAATACAGTGGCTATTTTAAAAGATAACATAAATGTAATCTGATTGTTAAGCAAAGACTTCTTGTTATATTGTTATATAGAGAAAAAAAACTCTTTGGCATGGTCTATGATCTAGCCCCTTCCTACCTTTCCAATATCATCCCATGCTATTCCATCTAACTCTTAGATTAGAAGCACTCACAATGGTTCCCTGTCCCTCTTCCTGACAAGCCCTACCACCCAATTTTTCACTAGGCTCAGATTAAAATTCATTTTCTTAGAGAACTTCTTCCCACCCACCAAGCTAAGTCCTCCATCTAGGTATTATCTGTCAGAACATCTTGTTCTTTCCTTGCAGAATGCTTCCATAATATTGCTATTTACATGTTCATTTATGCATCTGTCTCCCTCTCTAGACAGTCAATTCCAGAGTGCGGGGCTCATGTCCCTTTTGTCCAATACTGTTTTCCCGAACTTAGCCACTTCCCCAACTTAGTCAGTTCCCAAAATTCTACACCACAGCAGCCACTCAGTAAGTACTTAGAGGATTAACAACAAGATTGATAATGTGAACAAATGAATGAAGCTTAAAAATACAATGAAACGGGCATGATATTATGCCATGTAATACATACACACAGGTATGGAACAGGCAAATCGAGTCCTACAGAAATACAGATGGACACAACTGTGCGGAGTGATTACCCACGGATGGCAAGTCTGCGTGATGTTCTTATTATAAGTACTTATTCATATTTCCTAATTGGTATGGAATGAATGAATATATATTAATTACATTAAAAATAATATAAGAAAAATATTTTATCAAGTAACATTTGCCAAAAAAATCCACTAAGTACAAAAAGCAGTGAGGAAATCCCTATAGGGACATTTTTTGGGAGGAAGAGGCTCTAATGTGGTCTGAATCTCATCATCTGAACCCCTCGATGTAAACTGACAAGCCATTACTGGGCACTTGAGTGGACACGAGTTTTGAGCCAATTATTCCCCCATCCCTGCATTTTTCAGCTGCACAGAGCTGCAAGCATGGTCTTTCTCAAATAGCCATGTGTAGCCTAAAGAAGGTGAAAATCTAAGGAAAGTCTGAGGCTCATAGGGTTCACCTTCCAGAAGAGAGAGAGAACAGCGGTCCTCTGGGAAGGGAGAATTGGCACACCACGGCTCTGGTTACAAAATTTAAGATGTAAAACTATTTACAACCTCTTTATGTTATGATGACTTGTTCCTTCTGTTTGGGGAGAGCTGAGAGAACAGGTGGCAAGAGAAAAGGTGGGGCAGTGTGCTGGGTGCGTGGTCTATCCTGGGGACGAGAAAAGCCCCCAACGATGATGAGGTGTCTGGTGGCAGTCAGAGCATCTCATGTAACATTGGCAGGGGGACAAGCAGGAAGTCAAAATACTACAGAATGAAGGAGAAAAGGTGACCAGGCCCAGGCGGTCAGTTAAGAGCCTCTGACAGAGGCAGAGGCGGAAGCACTGAGCACCAGCTAGAGCCCAGGGGGGAGGCAGGGGTGGCGTCTTCAGGTGCTCCAGCCTCAGTGGGCTTTGCTGCACTTCCTGGGAGGCAGGGTGTTGCCAAGCCTCGGCCTGCAGCTGAAAGCCTATAAAGGGCTTCCCTAGTGTAGAGGGGAAGGAGTGGGCAGGAAGAAAAGCATGTCTTATCACAGTAAGTTATTGTTATGTTTCAAAACACTGAAAGATAAGAAAACTACAAGAGGCTTCTTGAAGTGGATGAGCCCGGAGGTAAACCGTGCAAGCCATGATGGGTGTGAGTGAGGAAAGAGGAGGAAAGAGGACATCTCAGGGCGGGAAGGAAACAAAGACATAAGACAGCAAACCCAGCCATCTGGCCAGAGCTGAATTCACCCAAGATGGTCTTGATCGAGCTTCTAATTCAAGTCCACATGGAGAGATGTTCTTATTTGTCCCCCCAGGAGAGCAAGCATTCTGGAAAATTTGGATGAACTTTTAACAGTTATTTCATAATATTTAATACTAATAATTTAATATTATAAAATAATATTTAATACTTCAATAATTATTAGGAGTACCTCTCCCACAAATCCATAATTTCTTATGCATAGAAGATGCACATGCACACACATTCACAAAAAGACACTCATAAACCCACACAGACACATGCACGTACACCCACACACACTCCGGCACAATCACACACAGACACATGCACACACCTGCCCTTATATGGACTCACTGTGTCATTCATACACAGGCTCACAGACACACCGAGCGCACACACACACACACTCACATTTACACTGAACTATACAACAGACTCCCTCCTTACCTGGGCTTCAAGTATGTTAACTTTTTCTTTCAGATTTTCAATTCTTTTATCTTGTTCTTTTAAGTTATTTTTTAATCCTTCCATCTAAGAATTAGGAAACACAATTGGAAAAGTCTTGTCAGACAACAGGGAAGTTACTTAAGTCAGACACTGCACAGGTTTCTATGGTCCACTGACATCCATCAAATAAAAAAATTAAATCCCAAAGCATTAGCGGATTCAGTAGCTTATAGAAAAGAGCAGGGCAAATTGGCACCTGGGGATGAGAGCGTGTGGGCAGTCCTATTAAACACTGTAATCTTTGGAAAACCTGTTTAAACCAAACCCGTGGGCATGCCTCCTGTGGAGAGCAGCTCTGGCCATCCTTCTGTGTTTCCGACACACAGTGTCATACTGCCGATGCAGAGGCTGGTGGCCATCACACAAGGCCACCACCCAGAACGGGGAAGCTCCCGAGGGCAGAGATCTGGTCAACCCGCGGCATAATGAGGTGAGCCTGCTTTGCTTGGGAAGAAAAGCATCTGCCAAAAAGCAGTGTGCAACTGGGGAGGTGGGCGGATGACCAGAACAGAGTGGGAAGAGAGGAAACCCACGGGTTCTAAGGCTGGTTCTGCCACTACCAGCCCTGTCACTTAACTACTGTGAGCCTCTGTTTTCTCATCTGTCAAAGGAGAACGTGGGCTGCCCCCTACATCCTTCCTGGCTCCCAAGTGCCATGACTCAATTCTCTGGCCTTTTGGTGAGGTCCTAGCCAAATGGTACATTTGTATCAGAGAGGCATTGGAGTTATTTGAAAGGATTCTTTTTGGAAACAAATATTAGGTAGTAAAAAATGAGTGAAGGTCTGATTTTAAGTCGAAAGCACAGCCCCTGAACCAGATCCATAGAATTCTTGAAGTAAATCGTATGAGTTCACAATCCACCATCCATCTGGCTGCCACCAGCCTCTCTTTCACCTGCCAGGATGTTCCCAGAAAAGAATGGCCAGGTGACACCCCCTCCCCACACACCTACTAAGTAAATTTACTGTTTGTGAGGTTATAAAAACAGATCCTTGCTTCCTCAAAAAGGGCTGAATTTTGTAATCTCCAAAATCTTCTAAAGAACAGTGTACATTACCTGGCTCAGAACACTTTAAAAAAAAAACACTGAAACCTAAAGAGCAGTTAAACACAATCTCCCAAATATCTTCACTGAGAACACAACAGGTGTTGGCATACAGACCGAAGAAGGCATTGAAAACAGAGTCATGTTACATGGGATGAAAAAGGAAATGTCAGCGGGGAGAAAAATCTCACTGCTTGTGAAGTCCAGGCAAGCTGCCTGTATTCAGTCTTCTTACTGTAAGCATACCATCTACCAGAGAAACACACTTGATTAATCTGACCTCCTGGATGACACTGCGCAGGTTCTGATGTTGGGAATGAATCACAAACTGCAGATGAGAGATCTTCTCCTGGAGAAGGGAAATCTCCATTTGAAGATTGTGGCAACTGGAAATGCAAAAGGAAAAAGATAAAGATGTGCTGAAGCATCGTGCAGCCATTTTTTATAGTCAGGCTGCCAGGCTCTCCTCACACACGACTCTATTACTGGGCATCGTGCGGGAAGGACGCTGGGGGCCCCATATGCCACGCAAGACATGGAAGATCAACAGCCACAGAGCAGCCTCTGATTAGCTCAGACAGGAACTTGAATGAGTATATCCATTCATGTCAAAAGCTCCCTCCTGGCCATCTGTGACTTCCCTACCTCCAGGAGGGGGTTGAGTCAAACTGTACTGAGCCCGATGAAGCACTCACAGAACTAAACAGTCTTGCCTAGGAACACCCACACACCCAGCACTCATCAGAATGCCCAGATAACTACATAAGGATAGTGGGGCTAGGACATGGGGGGCTAGGAATGGAGATTTTTACATATAATGGGAAACCAATTTCCAATGATACAGAGATGGTGTATGTTGTGGTTTGCCTGTGTTTGTCTTATTATTATTATTACTATTATTATTTTGGCTTCCTGCTTTGGGTAATTCTACTACTTGTAAATAGGGCATAAAAAAAAAAAAAGGAAATTTAATTCCAGCTAATAGTTTGAGTCCCCATCGACCTTTGTGAAAAAAGACAGATGAAATTTGGATTTAGATTATTCATACTTTCCCGAAACTCCATTTAGGTAACTGGAATTGATTATACAGCTTTTGACTTGCCAAGATTTTCTTTTAAAGATTTTATTTATTTATTTGACAGAGAGAGAGGGAACACAAGCAGGGGGAGGGGGAGAGGGAGAAGCAGGCTTCCCACTGAGCAGGGAGCCTGATGCGGGGCTCGATCCCAAGACCCTGGGATCAATGACCTGAGCCGAAGGCAGACGCTTAACGACTGAGCCACCCAGGCGCCCCGCCAAGATTTTCTTCTTGCCAATATTATTGGAGTTTTGAAGCAGCATGCATTGTGGCAAGCTCACCAAACTTGGGAGCTTCTCAGCTTCGGTGTAACAGATAGAATAACTCCTATCTGTATTACTTTACAAGAATATACTGTGGACTAAAGGAGGTAAATGAATATGCTTTCGGAAAGTAAGCTTTTGCACAGCAATGTATTAATATTTCTTTAGCTATTAAGGTTTTATAATTAGTAGCCAACATCCAATGCAATTGCAATTGTGATTTTATAGCCTCTACAAATATTACAAAGGTCGTGGACACTCATGTGACATTACAGACCATGTTCTCATTTGAAAAAAAAAAAAAAGAGAGTCTCATTTTGTTTCACATCATGTACTGAAACATTGCTTCTCAAACTTAATATGCATTGGAGGATCTTATGAAATCATGAGGGATCCTGTTAAAATGCACATCTGATCCAGGAGGCTGGGACAGGGCTTGAGATTCTGCATTTCCAGTAGGCTCCAGGTTGTTACCAGTGAGTATGCTTACCCAGGCTTTGAATAGCCCAGCACTGAACCACTGAGGTTGGCTCAATAACATATGTAATATTCTCTCTCAAGGTCAAGTAATTTGCAGGCAACTTGCAATATTTAAGACAGTCTTTTAATTTTTTCTCTCTTTTGGTTTTGCATGAGAGAGCTTTAAAAAGTTTGTTTTACTGTAGAAAAAAATTAATTTCTATGAAATCATAGAAATTCTTGCACAAGTACAAATATTGCATAATGACAGCCATTACTATTTATTTATCCTATGGAATTAAATAATTCATACTATAAAAACACTGCGCAATTACACAAAATATTATATAAAATGTAGTTCATAGCATAAAAATTAGAACACTCTAAATGTTCATTAATAGAAGACTAATGAAACTAACTACACTGTATCTGTGCCACTTTTATTGTACATATACATATATCACAGGGATAGACCAACAGACTTGATGTGTATCAAAGATGATTGGCAGAATATTATAAAAAGGATGATCCTTTCAACAAGTGGTACTGAGACAACTCTATATCCATATTAAAAAAAATAAAATGAAAATCCTAAACTCATCTCATAAGAAAAATAAATTCCATGTAGACTGTAAATAAAGCTGGGGACCCAAAAGACTTTCAGAAGATAATATAGAAGAACATCTTCGTGAATGTGCAATAGACGAAGATTTTTTAAAACAGAACTCAAAACAGTATTAACCACAAAGGGAAAGACTGAGAATTTTGACTAGACTAAAATAAAAAACTTGGGAGTCATCAAATAAGAGGGAACAGGATAGCCTCAGAACCTCAGAAACTCAAATGATTAATAAAGGCATTGTACCCAGAATATATAAGGATACATCTACCAATCAGTATGACAGATACCCCAGTAGAAAAATTAGAAAGGGACTAGAGATACTGCACACACACAAAATGAGTTGAGGACATATGGATCAAAATAGCAGAGAAGGCAAACAGAAGTCTGCCCCACAGGGGGTGGGGCTAAGATTCAAGACTGCTCCAGTGAGGAGGGAAAAAGGAGAGAAGTAGGGAGGGAGCTGTCAGACTCAGGATTTCCCTGGGAAATAAGGAGAAATAATTCGGGATGCCTTACAGAGGCAGGCTGGCTTTGAATATTCATAAACTGTTCATAAGCCCATAAGAAAATTAAACATTTTAAAAAAATTTATAAAAATATTAAAGATGAGTATTCATAATGTCTTGTTGTGTACTATGATGACCCAGAACTCAGAGGGAAAACCAGAGGGAAAAAAGGGTGGCTTTAGGAAGATGGGGTGGGTAGATGTTATGCTCCTCAAAATACAAAGCTCAGGAAACTTCCCCACGTATTCTGTGATGGTATTACCATAGAAGTCACCGTAGATGAACAGAAATCTGAAATAGGTCTCAAGATGGAAGAAAATAATTTCTAGAAGCACTCTTGAAAACACAGGGCTTTCAGACTTATCTGCATTAGTACACTAGAATGGGGACTAACAGAAGTTGCAGAAATTCTCTCTTAGGATTGTTCGATAAATATGAAACTAATCACCCATTAAAGGTCTTTAAATGTGAGACTATACTGAAATAAACTGCCACCTGAGCTCCCTTTAATCTCTGCTCTTTATCTTTCTGTTAAAGCAACTCAGTCTTTTTTTTTTTTTTTTTTTTTAAGATTTTATTTATTTATTTGACACAGAGAGAGACACAGCAAGAGAGGGAACACAAGCAGGGGGAGTGGGAGAGGGAGAAGCAGGCTCCCCGCTGAGCAGGGAGCCCGATGCGGAGCTCGATCCCAAGACCCTGGGATCATGACCTGAGCCGAAGGCAGACGCTTAACGACTGAGCCACCCAGGTGCCCCTAAAGCAACTCAGTCTTAATAAAGAGGTACTAAAGCAAAACCAGCAGGAAGAAAACATTACAAAGGCCAGGCCTAGAAAAGGACACTGAGCCCTTCTAATAGATGTCTGATTCATGCTCTGCCTCCCAATGCCTCAATATAAAGTAAATGCTGAAATTAAAATAGAATTGAAAATCTTATACTTTGGGAAGATGTAGATGTGTTTTTCCTATCCTTCCCACTGAGTACAACCAAAAACCTAGAGATTATATGTAGACAAACACAAGAAGGCTCTGAAAGGTGGAGAGAAGGCAGACCAGCTCAGGACCTTGGAATCCAAGGCATAACACAATGGTGAGCTCCCTGGGCTTTCTTTTTGCCTCATATATCCCAGACTTGGAGCTGAAAAAGTCTGTAGTCTGGAAATGCCAAAGAGAGCAAACAAGAAAAGCCCCATCAACGGGAGAGGAAAATCTTGGCCCTCTTCTTTTGAGGAAGGGAATTGAGGATCCTCTCTCCATTTGGCACTGAGGGAGAGTCAACAGAGCACCATTTCTGATATTCTTCCTCTTAGATTCCTTAACGTTCAAGAGAGAAAGTCTATCTTATCTTTAACTTGCAGACATGTGAAAACAAATGGCTTAGACTTTAGTAATACGGGATGATTGTAGCATAAGTACTTGGCAAGAAGCATACCCTCAATCACTCTGATGACCAACGTCTGCCAAACACTTAGTCAAAGGAAATTGAATTAAGGGAGGATTGTCTCTCTATCCATCCATCAGGATACTTAGATTTTAACTATCTTTGGGTTAACTTACACCATCAGAGGGCAGCATTATTCAACCATGCCATACCTTGCCCTCTGCTCCTCACTGTTATAATGGCTTTGTTTTCATAGTTTTCTGGCATCATTCTATCCTTTTTTAAAGGGTTTTTCTGAGGTAGAGCTCCTGTATTTCTCCAAAGGATAACTCTAAAATGGACCTTTGTGTTTGTGATGTCACAGGGCAGAGGGACAAGTTGGGAAACTGTGATCTGCTCATACACACCCAGGGGAATTAGGAAACCAGGCCGAGGGAAAGCCTCCAGAGGTCTCCAGAAATGAAAGAAGGTCAAATCTCCTCTATAGCAGAATGAGCACCGACTGCTGTGAGAATTCTAGGGCCCAAACTCCCAGCTCTTACAGCTTCTGAGATGCTGTATATATCGCTTCACCAATTAGAAGCTCAGTTTCCTCCCTGAAAAGTCAATGAAAGGATTAAATTAAATAAGGTACCTGGAGTTACTCTATAAACAGCAAAGCACAATACATGTGTTGGCTAGTAGTGATGGAATTAGAAACATGGAGTCAACCTTGTTTTCCACGAGATGCTTCTGCCAAATCTCTTAACTCTCATTAAAAGTAATTGTGGGGATTAGCATATTATATATTCATATTCATATGCAAAAAACCTGTCATTTTCTCCTGAATTATAGAATACTTAAAAGTCATCATTTTTAGAGATGCTTTTTAATATTAGAAATGCCAGGTTAGAACATATTGAATCTTTTCATCAAAATGGCAGAGTCCTGAAACAAATAATACATTATATGTTAAAAAAAAAAAAAAAGAAGAAGATAGTAGGAAGGGAAAAATGAAGGTGAGGAAATCAGAGAGGGAGCCAAACCATGAGAGACTATGGACTCTGAG